ACATGAATCTGGTGATTCAATCTATGAAAAGACACATCAACAAGAATGACAACCCAATCTATCGGAATGGGCTCCTGGTCTTGGTTAAGCGGGGGGAATTGTCTATAAGTGAAGTCACGACATCCATAGAGCACATCTTAGAATACGGTTTAGATGTGGAATCATTTGAAATATTTTCTGAGAAGACCATAATAGCAGGCAAGCAATTCCAACATTTAAGCCAAGGGCTGAATGGTCTTCAGCACCCACACCTCCTTAGTCCCTTACGAGAAGAAGTCCGTCAACCACCAGTTTCGTCTAATTTTCCTGCTCTACATTTTAACAACCCAGGTTTGAAAGTTCTGATGCCAATAACCACTGGCGTGGAAAATAAAAATCCACCATTTCAAACTTTAAGGAAGGATTCTGATGAATTGTCTATGGTGTTTGATCAAGACAACGACAGTCAGGGTCCAGCCACCAGTGATATGAATCCAATACAAGTTGTTCAAGACATTCATCTCATGCCACCGTTGCAGAAAATTCTAAATGCAGCTGAAAAGAAAGATTTAACAGCTGTTAACATGGCCAACACTGATGTCCTGGAGCTCTCCAACTGTTACGCTAAGGCTGCACAGATAGCTGGGGTTCTGATTGACACTGAAGATAGGCTAAAACTAGAAAACCTCAGAGAAGAAATTGTGGCCGCGACTCACAAGGTAGTGCGACTGGCTCAGGAGGCAGCCATGGGCTCTTCTGTGAGTGCAGGTAGCATCACCCGAGAAGCCATAGTTTTTTCTGACAGGATCGACAGCATGCGGCAGATTCTGCTTCCTGCCACAGGCACCTGGTACCATGCAATCTGCCTGATATTTCAAGGGCAACCAAACAAAACAGTTGCTGATAAGACACAGGAGGTAAGTGAGGTGATGCTTGCGTGTGCAGATGTCGTTGAACTTGTTACCTCTTCTGACCTTTCTGTGCACAGCAAACATCAAGAATGTGTCGCGGTGCACAGCAAACTGAAGACCACCCAGGCCAATGCTAAGCACCTCACTCATCTGGCCACTTTGATGCCTGAGCCTTATAAATTAGAGACTCTATGTATCCTGTGGTCTCTTTCCATCCAAGTCTTGCTTAACGCAATTGATAAGATGCTAGGGTCTGCAGTGGAGGGAGGAAAAGGTCATTTAACTCTGCAGAAACGGTTGGCAATGTGGTCAGAAAACTCTCTGCGAATACAAGAGGCTTCAGAATTGTCCTCATTGAATTGTAAAAATAATAGCATAATTAAAAACATGAGAGGCCTTCAGCAGGAGGTGAAATGTTTGACTGAGGCCTACCTTCAAGCAGCAGATAACCTTGGCAGTGTGTCCTGCGCTGACATCCACCAGCTTGCCAGGACTGAGTGCTTGCAAAGACAGCTTCAAGTTAAAATGAATGCTCTATTAACTCTGGTCAGCACTATAAATAAGGAATACACAGATGCAGTTAAGAGCGTTGTCCACCTAGCTCATTTGGCCGCTGCGGATAAAGGAAAAGATGAAAAGACACAAACAGCGCATGTGGATTTTGAGAGAAGTGCTGAATCGCTGTTAGAAAATGTAAAAGCTGCAGCACAGAAGATTCAAGACAGTCTGCTTTATATCAGGAACCCCAGGGTGCGTGGTAGCCTGAGATTCACTAAAGACCATCTTTCCTCTCAAACGTCAGAAATTGTGAGCAGAGCCAAGAAAATGGCTGAAACCCAGGACACTTCTGACGTACTGAGTCTGGAAGTTCAGAAGCAATGCTGGTCAGCAAAAGCTCGCTTCCTCGTGGAAGAAATTAACAAAGTGGAGGGCATTCACCAGGCAACAAAAGACCAAGTGAAACTTCTCCTGCAGGGTAAACAGCCCTGGGACATGCCAGTTACGTTATCTGAGGTCCAAACAGAGGAAACCAGACCTGTGAAGTGTCCCAGGCAAATAAGCTCTGCATTGAGTGTAAACATTGAAGAAGAGAACAACCTTGCTGCATCTGAGGTGCTTCCCAAAATGGTATGAAAGCATAATTTAATTATGATCATAAAATCAATCAATCTATCAATCTATCTATCTATCTATCTATCTATCTATCTATCTATCTATCTATCTATCTATCTATCTATCACATTTAAGATTCAAGGAATCTGTTAAAATCACTATAATCAAATAAGAATTAGATCTTTATGCACAATTATGAGCAAAACTGTACAAAATGAATGGAAACAATACAGCTGTTAGTTTGCATATATAAGACTGTGGTGCTGATGCCAAATGAAGTTTCATGAACCATTTTCTGTATTTTCTGACCCCACTAGATGGTGCTCTTGGTTTGCTTTGGAGCACAATCTAGATGTGTCAGAAAAAAACAGCAAATGGTTGATGAAGCTTAATTTGGCATCACTAGAGCATGGATGTCAATCCCTCCAGGGCATCAGGAAGCTTGCAGACTGCAGTGTGGCTCCCTCCCTCACCTACACCTCCCTCTTCCTGAAAAGGGAGACGGACAAGTGGGATGCACAAAACAACCACGTCGTTCAGGTGACGAAAGACATGGCGGAGAAGATATACCACATGGTCCAGTTCCTGAAGAGAAGAGGTCCCATCCAGGTCAAGTATGACACAAAAGAGCAGGGATTCACCACATTATAATGCCACCATGCCACCTCTGGTACTGGCAAACCAAAGGAAAAAGATTTAGTGATAGTTCTTATGGACATGGATGTGTAAATATTATACCTTAATTTTGTGTTTTATTTTTGGCTTTATGATTTAGAGCAGGGGTGGGGAACCTGTTCCATGGAGGGCCGGTGTGGGTGTGGGTTTTTGGGATAGCCTCTCAATCAGCCAATAATAAAGCAGTGGTTCTCAACTCCAGTCCTGGGGACCCACTGTTATTGGCTGATAGAGAGGTCATCTCAAAAAGCTGCACCCACACCGGTCCTCCATGGATCAGGTTCCCCACCCCTGATTTAGAGGGTAAAAGGATATGAAAATGTGGACTGGGATAAAGCCAAATATAAAACAGTATTAGGAACCTAACCATAAATAATTTATTTTCTGACAGAGCAAGGAGGCTTTTATTTACACTGCCAGAGAGATGATCTCAGGTTGTCAGTCCATCACTCAGTTTGTGAGGGTCATTGCAGAGCACTGCCTGGACAAACGCTGCAGGGATGACCTTCTCTACATTACAGAGCAGATTCTCACTATCACTAACCAGCTTACCATAATCTCCAGGTGAGACCTTGACGCAACAGAGGTGCCCTCTGTAAGTTTTTCAGTTCCACATAAGTCCGAGCTCACCAGTCCACCTGAAGGTGATAAGTACTGAAATTTAGAATGGGGACTGTGTGCATACAATCCTGGTCAGGGTCACAGGGGTTCTGGAGCCTATCCCATACAGCAGTGTTTCCCAACCCAGTCCTCAGGGAACCCCGGACAGTCCATGTTTTTGCTCCTTCCCAGCTCCCAGCCAATCAGGAACACCGAATACCTGGTACAGGTGCTGGGAGCTGACAGGAAGCAAAAACGTCGACTGTCCGGGGTTCCCCGAGGACTGGGTTGGGAAACACTGCCATACAGCACAGGTCACAAGGTTGGGGTACACCCTGGATCGGGTAGCAGTCTTTCGCAGGGAATACACAGACAGTCACATACTACGATCCCTGTAGATATGATGTTCATTTAATTAATTTTTGCATTTGTTTGGAAATCAACAGTTGTTTTCACTTCAAATAAGGCAGAAAGACTGAAGCCAGTCAACTAAGTCACACTGGATGTGCAGCTCCAGATCTCAATAGTTCTAATTGGCTGCAGAAGTTCTAACCTGACCCCGGAGCTCATATTACATACTAAAGATAGAAATGTCAGCAGTTTTTCACAATCAGGACCACCCCAGACCAGCCTATGGTCCTTCACACTGTTTACCCAACGTCCCATTTTTCTAAAAAAATGATGGCCCACACCAAGCAGTAGTCACCGTTAGATATTTACACATAATGCATGACAAGGGAGAATGAGGCATTCCCTGCCTGGACTAAATAACACCAAGCTGAACAATCCTGCTTTATGTCTCTTTCCAGTGTCAATGCAGCAACAGCTAGTTGCAAGTCATCCAACGAGATCCTGGTGAAGAATGCACAGAGCCTGCTCCACGTCATTCTCAGGGGCATCCGGGCCGCTGAGGCCGCTTGCATCAAGGTACCCACCAGCCCACCCTACCTACTGTATCAGTCAGGAATCAGTAAATACAGTGCTGTCCAGTGGGGGCAGGGACAGGGTGAAAGCACATGGTTCCAAACTGTCAACAGCATTTAAAATACTGTAGGTTTTTGACCTTAATTTCTCTAATGCCATTTTCAGTACCTTTTTTTAATTTTTATAGGAAGATTTCCCAGCACCAGAGAAAAGGATCATATTATCAATTGTGTTCTCAAGTGACCTCTACAGAGAAATATCTTATAATACAGCTTCAATAATGATTGATTCAAATGTTCAGAACAAGTAGCCAACTGTGCCATCCTACGCCTGCCAAAATTAGGCTCCTAATAATCTGAAAAATCTTGAATCTCTGCCACTGTCACCAATAACAATTATAGTGCTAGCCTGAAGATTATTGTGGTACATTGTACCATTGGACTGTATGTAATAGAGATCTCTTTGCAAACCAGGGATTAAAGCAACCAGATCCAGACTCAGATGGTGCTGAAGCTGCTGTACTGTGTCTCCAGTGGAGGCGGAACCTACTGATTCACCGGGCCCAGCAGAACTCCTGCCTGGAGACGGATGAGCTGGGCCTCCGTAAAACATCACAGTACCTGCCAGGCCCCAGCCTAGCCGCCCCTGTTTACATGAAGGAAGCCTTTTAATGACAAAGCCTGATGCCTACCACTGTATTAGTCACTGCATTAAAACGTGGGAAGTGACTATCACTTCCAATTGAAATTTACCTTCCACAAGGATCATGCTGATCAAAGTATTCTTGCACACTATCTCATCTGCAGACGTCTCCTTTCTTTTATTTAAGACGAATAAAAAAAGTCAACATACCATGTCTAGCTAGACTGAGTTTTCTTTCTAGTCAAATACAGTTGACATCCAATTTAACAACAAAAAGAACCGTTGATGACAAGCATTGCATTTATATTACAAAATAAGCCATTTACAGTAAGCCATATTAGATAATAAAAACAAAAATGCCACTAATTTCAGAACAGAAATAGCACCATAAAGCCAAAAAATACATATATTTTTTTAATGAAACTCAATTGTTTTATGGTTTTAACATTCGTTATTGTCATGTGTGCAATAAATCCAAATAGAAAAGTCTCAGTACCAGCAGCAAAATATGGGTGATGGACAAGTTGTTGGTGGGATATTTTTCTTTCTACTAACGAGTTAAATATTCTTCAGTTATATAAAAGTGGCAGTTTCTATACTGTTGCTCTAAAATTATTTTTTTCCCAGCACACAATAAAAAAGGTTAAAACCATAATACTGCACTTGTAAGAGCTTACATATCTTTGATGCACAATTACTGACAAAATAATCTTTATTTTACCCATCACATTCACTATATATACCTGTGGTTCGCTAACCATCTCTGGACCCCGATAAACTGCTCTCTGAACCTCGCAGAAATGCTCTAGTAGCTGAACGTCACTGAAACATTTTAAAGACCATTCTGCACTGACTCTGAGTGTTTCTGCCTGTACATCTCTATCAATACACAAATAACTGAAACCATAAAAACAGTAAGAGCTCATTTTTATTAGTGCCTGTGAGATAGGAATTATATACATTTAAAATAAATAAATATATAAAGCTCAATAGTGTTTCATGGAGGAGCGAGAACGCTAAAGTACATATTTACAAATATGAGCCATCTTGATTCATTTCTGCGAGCTGCTGTTTGTTTATTGACAGAAAGGAGATACTGTGGGGTCAAACGTCTTAAACACATCCTTGAGGGGCCTGTCGTCGGGCTCCTCGCTGCTCTCGGCATCCTCCTGTGGTGCTCCTGCTGCCTGCCCCGATGCTCTGGCCTGCCGTGGGTCGCTGTAAGGGGGCCGTATCAGCCCCGCCAGTGCTTGGATGGGAAGGTTGTGTACAGCAGGGGCAGCATGAGCCCCAGAGAGGGGAGAGGAGGGCGGGGAGGACACCAGGGCGGCTGGGGGGCGAGACGGTTTGCCCAGTCCCCCAAATCCGCCCGTGTCTGACAGATCATCGTGGAGCTTGTCGTCGAGGGCAGACGCGGAGGATGGCTGGGGGCTTCCCTGCTTCACGGGCTGCTTTAGGATGCCATGCTTCTTCTGCAGCTCTTCGCCCTCGTCCCTCGAGGGTTGAGCCGACTGGGTTCTGGGGTCATACAGGCTGATTCCACCCAGCAGCGAGGTAGGGCTGCCCAGCCCCCCACTGCTGGAGGAGAGCTTGGGGGCATACGGGGGGAGCTTCTCCGGCTCTGGTTTTATGGCAGATCCAGTGGCGACCCGCTGTAACCTCGGATCAATGCCCCCCCCACTGCCACTGGAATCCTTGGACACTGGGAACCTAGAATCTTGACTTCCCGATCGGCTAATCCTGGGGTCCAGGGGTTTATGAGTCCGCGGGTCCAAGGATTTCTCTGGGGGCGACTTGAGCTCGGGGGCCCTGCAGGCGAGGCCTGCCGACCTAGAGATTCCGTCCTTTAGGCGGGCAGCAGCCAAGCGAGGGTCCAGGGGTGGGGGAGAGGAGGCAGGCTCCACGGGAGGGCCGAGGCTGCGGTTTAGCCGGGCGTCAGCGATAAGCGGGGGCAGGGGCAGGTTGATGGAGGGCTCCTGCCGGGGCACGAGGAGTGGGATCAGGTCCTCGGGAGCCCAGACCACCGTCTGAGCGAAGGCTGGCCGGGACAGCAGGATGTCTACACGGATGTGGCTGAACTGCTTGAGCTGACAGCGGGGGTCACGCAGGGCCGCACCCGGACGGGGCTCCAGTGGGATGATGGCCGCTTTCTCCCTCAGCTCCCGCTCGCTGTCGTCATCCTCATCTCCGGCCAGGGGCTTGTAGGGGGCAGGGGGGTGCAGCTGGGGGTGGCGGTGTATGTCCTGTTTAGGACCTCCAGGCTCCAGGGGTTTCATTTTGCGGGGGTCCCGTGTCACCCGTGGGTCAGCAGAGGCATCCTCGGCCTTCCGTGCTTCCGCCGCCCGCTGTCGGGGGTCGGCTTTGGTGCGAGGGTCACTGGGCGCGGCCCTGTCCTTCTGCAGCCGGGGGTCACATAGCCCCACTGATGGGGCGCCGGCCAGATGCACTTTAGGCTGCTGCAAGTTCTTCATCATCTCATTCTGCTTCTTGAGGGATTTGAGGATAGCTGTCATGCTGTTGCCATCCTCATCATCGCTGGAGTACCAGCCGGTAGCTTCGTCTGAAACAATATTTCAGATTAATCCCAGAACCTCAGAAAGCCACTGCTAAACCGATCTAAAGCACCAACTTACTGAAGGACAGAGGAATTGACCCTACAGGCATCTCATCCATCCATTACATCCATCCATTACAGGGTCCTAGTGAAATTTCAGTAATATTTTGCATAAACATTTCTTCTTTACCAATTAATATGTAAACAGGTTTCATAACATCATGTTTCTGTTGAATCAATCTAATGACTGACCAACAATTTTTAACATATGTTAGAAATTACAACTGCATTTTATGAAATTATTTAAATTTACCCAATACGCTCCATCTTGGTCTCTACACAATCTCTCTTCTAACTACCCTTTACAGATCAGGACATCCTATCCAATACATTTAAGTTTTTGTTTTAACTGTATGTGTTCATATGACAAATGTATGTTTAATCTCATACTGTACATTCAAAATGGATTTTGCAGGAAACATCCAAAACCGCTTTCGCTCCCAGGGATAGACGTGGTGTCATTATTTACTGCCGCTGCACGTGGGCCATGCGGAGCGGCCATGTCCCCAATGCAAGGCGGACGTCCTCACCCTTGTCTCTGCCGATGGCCTTGGGCCCCTTCACCTCCTCGCCCGCAGCCACGTCCTCCTGGTGCTTCTGGCTCAAACGCATGAACAGGGCCTTCTGCACGGCCGGCAGGAAGTCTGGAACTGGGACGGAGCCGTTGGACTCGGCGCTGCTCTGGGACGCCTGGGTGCAGTCAAAGGGCAGCTGTTCCAGTGAGGGGCCTTCTTCTGAAAGAGATGAACTCGGTTACATCACTGCTCCACTGTTTACAAGTGTCACGCTTTGAAAATATTTATATATGAATCTTTTGAATGTGTAACAACAGAAAGAAAAAATAAATAAATAAAAACAGGACAGTTTTCCCAATCTCTTTATGGGGAAACTGGACATTTTTTATAAGTATACTAGTGATTAAGAAACCACATAAACCAGATTCCTGAAGTATTGGCTCATGTAAAACAATGCAATATGTTTAATACACATTTCCTTAAATCCTACCAATTTAATATTTGTTCTGACACTAATTGTCAGACTCTACCCGCAGTAATGCACCATGATCACATCTAAGACAATAATCCATCCAAGTATCTGTGGCCAGGGTTTGTATTTTCATAAATATAGCAAAAGAGCCAGCAAAAGACCAGACTCCTAACATGAACCCCAAAGACAAGATAATTTGTGTTTGCAGAAAGCAATGGGGTGCATCCTGTGATTAACAGCCTGGCAAGACTTCACGTCATTTGAGAGCAGAAAGGTAAAAACAACTGAATTACCACGTTGCTCTTACCTCCCTGACTCACGCTCTGACTGCCGTAGTAGCAGTCATAAAACACTGAACGGTTCTGACCCATAGCCGGGTACGGCACGTTCTGCTGCATCGGCAGGTCTGCGCCAGGGGCGAAAGGCCCCAGCTGCTTTTTTTGGGGGTTGGCATTGGGACGGTTACCGTGAGGGCTGGTGTGAAAGGCGGCCGCCTGGCCAGGGGCTGCTGGAGGGTGCATGGCAGGTCCTGGGTGGAAGCCGTGCTGCAGAGATGCTCCGGGGGGGCTCATGGGCGGTCCGATATGGGGGTGGGGCGGGCACGCCATGGCGCTGGGGGAGCCTGGAGCTGGGACGGAGGGGCAGCTGGTGCCCGGGGGTAGCATATTAGCACCCTGCATGTCGTCCGCACCTCCTGCAAACTGGGGTGGGGGTCCGTTCCCAGGGAACTGAGGGCCAGGGGGGGAGGAGAAATTGGATCTGCAAGACAAAGGACAATCGCTTTCACAAATGCTACACTTAAGTACGCAATTAAAACTCCGCTTCACAAGATAAAAGAGCTCTGGGCATCGCTTAACTTTCATTCCACACGCTGTACTTCCAGGCTGTTTTCAACCTCAACTCTTAAATCAGATAATCTTTGGAATAAATTGTTATAATAAGGATGCCAATAGAAGACAAATCTGGTCCTTACTGAGATATTACTGAAGAAACAAATCATCAAACAAATAAAATCCTGCTCTGCAGGACAGTTTGCCCCTAATTTTTTATGCTCTCATGGTAGAAGGGATGTAAACGCAGGCAAAAACACAGCCAGAGCAGGCGCAGTACCTGAGCCCGATCTTCTGAACCAGGTCCACAGTTGGCTGAACCACAATCTCAAACAGGGAGGGAATCTTCTTCCCGCAGGGCCCCATATCTTGAGGGCTGCTGGGGCCAGGCGTAGGCAGCAGCCCCACCCCCGGCGGGGGCTTGGGCAGGGGGGCGATGCCTTGCTTCCTCAGCTCCTCCAGCTCCTGCTCATCCTCAGCCATAGCCTCCTCCTCAGTCTTCAGGACCTGCACAGATGTGAAGCAGAATTAAAGCTGCTCTTTCTATATCGAGTATAGCAATAGTTACAGATGCCTTATAAACTACTATCACATTTCAGCCATTCCACTGTTTAGTAAGGCTGATGAAAACCACACACGTGTTCTGTATTTTCTGCATTTTAAAGGTGGGATTTCTGACCTTGTCCAGCAGTTCTCTGGTTAGATCAGTAAGCGGCTCGTGGGAGAACTTGCATTTATCTCCCTGGTAGCACTTTGCCCCAGTGTGGAAGAACTTGCATGGATATTCATGTGAATTTATGGGTCAAGGAGAAAACTCATATATTAGTTTGAATACAATAAAAGTACATCAGATATCAAAAACAGCAAATGAAGTTATGACATTGCTATATGATGCATGCTTGCTATAATGCAAGATTCCTTCAAAATAATGAACCACTGATCTATTTTTCCAAACTATTTCTACGGTGCTGTGTGGAAGGAAACCAGCCCAGGAAGCACTGGGCAAGAGCTAAGGAACAAGATGGACAAGATGCCAGCGTCAGTAATGCCGATCATCTTAGAACTAAGACTGTTGTGACTTGGGTGCTTTGTCTCCCTCTCAAACGACAGGCATGTGCAAAACACAGTAGCAGTTCAAACCCCCAGGAGGGGGGGCTGCCCTTGTATTCTTACAGCAACTTAATTCCTAAATTCCTACAACAAAACATCCAACTAAACAAATCAGTAACATCAAGGTCACCCTAGCAAAGAACCAGCTTTATTATTTAATTATTAAAGTATTATAAACTTCAAAAAGGAATGACATTTCTAGCATGGTGCAAGAAGCCAGTCATCACGTTGCAGTAGAGGCTGCATGCAGGATATTGTGCATGTAACTGCACTTCTCCCCCTTGCTGCAGTAGCCCTGGAGGTAGAACTTGCACAGCTCCTTCTTCTTGTCCGGAATGACGAGTTCATGCTCAAACTTGCACTGATCGCCCTGTGGAGACCCAAGAGACAATGAAAGGTGACTATCAGCTCATGGCAGTGTGACAGTGAGTGGTCTCTCTGCCTCTCACTGGTTTCCTCCACCTCCCCGGTGCTCAATGACAACCAAATATCTTTAAAAGGGTAACTGGCCATAGGTCCAGATCCCAATATGAATTTAAAATTTATCAGCAATGAATGAATTCCAAAAAGAAAACTGCATTCAAAGATTTATGATAGTGATTTTCTAAAAGTATTCAATGGTGCTGGTCCCAGTTCTAGAATTTCTGCCAGTACTGAACCGTGCAGTTCTGGTTTTCACAGTTTGATTCACAACTATTTAAAAAAACTAAATTAAAATGATATATTTTAAAATAATTATGTTCCAATAATAGACTGACTTCACTGCAGTTAAGTTATGATACTAAAAATGACTTGAACAGGACCCTCTTCTGTATAAACAGTTAAATCCTTCAGACGGCTGTGCTAGACCAAGTACCGCCCGCCCGCTGCTCTCCTGGCCTCCTTACCTTTATGCATCTTCCTTCCAGGAAGTACTTGCAGATGTATCTACCATTGTGTTCGACCGTGTGCTGATTGATGAACTCCTGCGTCATGATTGGACGCTTCTTCTGAAAGCTTGGGGGCCCCTTTGCGGGAGAACAGAGAAACAAAATGGCCGACAATGAGTAAGAAAACCACTATGTCAGGTCACCTCTAGCTGGCCATGCGCTCACTCATAAGTGCGTAATTCACTGCTATTCTACATTTGTTATCATACTCGTTGGCCATGCGCTCACTCATAAGTGCGTAATTCACTGCTATTCTACATTTGTTATCATACTCGTTGGCCATAAGCTTGCCTGTAATTGTCACGGGTGCTCACCTCCTTCATGCAGTCTCCCCCCTGGTCGCCCCCCCGGCCCCGGCCACGCCCCCAGTTCTTGCCCTTCAGCTTCTTGTTCTTGTTGGGTATCCCCCGTCCCCGGCAGATTCCGCCCCGACCCCTCCCTTTCGGTCCAGGATCTGCAGCCACGCATTAAATGCAGAGAAATCCGGCTCGATTACAGCTCGAGAGAAGCTGGCAGAATGCTGCTTTAAGATGGACACAGCAAATTCGTCAAATGTGTTATGTTACTACAACGTAAGTGTGAGACCCTGAATTTTTTTATATAGGCGCTGCTGAACCAAGCATACTCATCAGTATTCTGCAAGAAAAATGACCCGTGTTGGAATAACAGGGAAGAGCAAACTTTTAGTCCATTCCACTATAGCAGGTGTGGGGAACCTGATCCGTGGCGAACCGCTGTTGGTCCGGGTTTTTGGGATGACCTCTCAATCAGCCAATAATAAAGCAGTGGTTCTCAACTCCAGTCCTGGGGACCCACGGTTACTGGCTAATTGAGAGGTCATCCCAAAAACCCGCAGCCACCTTGGCTCTCCATGGATCAGGTTCTCCTCCCCTGCTCTATAGCTCTGTGAGCTGCTTCAGTTTTAGCAGGTGTTTCAGAGAACTGGACTGGACGTCATCCCTAGCATATATTACATAGAGCCCTGTGACAAAAGAGAAAGAGAGATGACACCATAAGTTGTGGAGATTCGCTCACATTGCTGTTTCAGCACTCCCTTCATGCTGCTCCTCTTCATCTGCTCCTTGGGAGGGCAGCCTTTACCCAGACCGGCCGCCAAGACTTCCTTGCCTGGCCGGTAGTGGCACGGCTCATTGGAATAGCCGTCGTCCTCCCCGTCGTATTCGTACTTCTCCTCACTGTAGTCGCTGAACTTGTCATAGTCAATGTTTTTATGCCTCTGCATCTTGGAGTGGCTTCCACTGGACTGGCCGTGCTAGAAAGCCATCAATATCCAAACATCAAAGACGCATGAAAGCAGGTAACAGTCAAGCCCAGGGGCGCTAAATTCACGCTAGACTCTGAGGCTGTTCCCTGATATCAAGGTGTAAAATCTTTTTCTTCGTTAATAAGTTAATAATACAGATAAAGAGGTGAGGCTCTGACTGCAGTAGTTCAGTTCACTTCCTCATTAATTATGCCACAGTGCCTACAGAACTCCTGCAGCGTGCGTGTTTTGAAGCTTTACACTCTGGGAAAAGCGGCATTTCAAGGTAATACAGCATTGAAGCAGCAGCTTTTCTACTGTCACAAAGACACAGGACCACAACATAAAACAGCAGCACGTTTCTCTGTTTTCCAAGTCGGCCCAATGACACGTATGATGTACATATGATATATGTAACTAATCCTAGGTCTGCGGATGCAGGGCAGCTCTGAAGCATTAGCTCCAAAACTCTAAGTTTCATTCCCGCCCTGCCTGGGTGTGTTGTGACAGACGCAGAATAACACCAAACTTATTGTTGGCTACTGTTACTTACTGTCCTTGACATGTCTGTTTTCTCATTCAGGTATCGATGTTCAGCTTCACTGACAAATGAATGAATGGATGCAGACTATAGCACTGACCTGGCCATCATAGTCACGGTAAGAGCTTGAGGACTTTTTGCTCTTGGATCTCTCCGGGCGCTCGTTCTCCGAGTCATAGCTGTCGGAAGTGTCTGAGCTGGAGGGGGAGTGATGCTGGGGCCGAAAGAGTTGGGGAAAAAGGTGGTGAAAACATTACATGGAGGAGTACCGGGGCTGGGCAAGGCTGCCCACCCCAAAGATTACGAGGGAAAACAAACTATCAGCAATTATGTAAATGCACCAGAATGATGAACAAGTAGTAGTTAAAAAAGACTGGTTAAAGAGGTTTAATAGTGAATCGAAGTCTGATGACACACACTGAGACAAAACAGAGATGACCCAGTGACAACTTACTAGTCTGAGTTCATATTACACATCAAAAAAGGAAAGCTTGATTTTCTAGACCTTTTCTATGACTCCACATGCCATGATATCAGCCTGCTGCCTGTAGTATCTGTGGTACTGTGAACTGACTCTGAGGTGGAGGCTGACGCCGACCTCGACACTGAGCCGCCAAACTCACCTTCTGCCTGTCCCGCCTTCTCTTCTTGGATCGCCTCTTCTCCTTCACCTTCTTGTATCTCTTCCTGGAGTGTCTGTGGCCTCTGTCATCTTTCTCCTTCTCCTTCTCTTTTTCTTCGTTAGCTTCTTTCACTTCTTTTGCCTCATCTTCAAGGCTGACCCCTTCATCGTCTATCTCTCCATCCTCCAGCTCGCCATCCTCTCTTCATGAAACATTTGCGAAACATATTAAAGATCAAATACCGTTAAGTCAGAAGAAATCATAAAATACTTATTATAGAAGAATATTTTTAAATACTTATATTACATTTTAAAAATCCCTTCCTTGCTCACTGCAGCACTAGTCAACATGAAGGTCCTTTCGCGTCATGCATCTAGTACTTTGCAAAACTTCAACAATAGGGATTATAAATGTAAAAAAACAATGGCAGTATCCATACCAAAGTATAGCAAAAACAGAAAAAACTCAAGCTATTTTAAACACAATTCAAGTAACTGCAAACAGAACATGCTTAACATTCCTAGCCAAATGCAAATATCAATTTAAGCTACACAAGTGAATCATATCACAATTGGGCTGCACATATATCAACAACCACCACAGCTTTTCTTAACATCTTCACTGCAACCAAGGCAAATAAGAGTCAATGTCACACTAAACAAACATCAGAAACTGCTCATTTTAAATACCTTTAACCTTCTACTGATGAGTGTACATTTATAATGATAGGAAATTACAGTGCCAGCATGTGTGCAGGGGGCCTGAAAGGGGGAAATCTCTTCAATGGGAGTCCTGTGGTTAAAAGAGGAGCCCTCTGAGACTTTGGAATACAGGCCTGGACCACCATGCCCTTGCACTGTTATGGGCAAAGCAAACTGCAGACAGACAGTGCACTGTGAATACTGGGTATGACTCAGCTGAGAAAAACCTAAAGTCATTCTGTCCGCATAGTGAACATTTCAGTCTACAAAGGTTTGAACCAGCATCTGATACCAAATTACTGCATGACCAATTCCAGAGCTTCTTCACAAGGGAATGAAACTTTATACTGTCTTTAGCTGAAATTAAAAGAAACGCTGAGCTATAACTGTCCCTGGGTAAAGCCTTGGCCTTAAAAATTGCTTGACTGGAAAATAAAACAACTTCAGTACTTGATTGTTTTCTCAAACAAATTGGGTAACAACATAACTTCACTTTGGATTTGGTCAATGCTGACAATAGTTATCAAGTTCAAAGCTGCTTCAAACATTATGGCTCACCAAAAGTTTTAATGAAAAACAGCTTTGCTGTCGGTCACTTATTAATTGCTAGAGGAACGGATCTCAATGGAGTGAAGATTTAACGGCAATGAACAATTAATTGCTACAATGAACAGCGAACCTGGCAAGATGCCAAGGCTATCAGAACAGGATTACAGATATACAATCTAATTGTACTGGCGAGTCTATGGAGATACACTGTATTATTGATGATGGCATGCATGTACTGAAAGCGTTTGAATAAAGCAGAATGAATGTTGAGGATATTAGTATAGACACTTATATAAACTGATTCATTGTAATATCATTTGCCTAAGTAACAGTGAGAGGCAAGAAAACCTAAAATGTAAAAACCTAAAAGGTCATTAAAAAAAAATTAGAACCCACTTAAGTCTGCATTGTCTACTTCCCCAGTACTGCATGAAGTGACCATTTAATTAAAGTGAATTCAATTCTGCCTGAAAGCTTGTAAAACCATCCCAATCAAGAGGTGAGGCGTTTCTTACAATCTATAGTAACAATGTAAATGTAAAAAAAAAAAAAACACCTGAGAGCTAAGAAATAGACCAATGTTAACTGCTCCAAAAGGCCTGAAAATTCCTGTTCACTTTCAACCGAGTCAACACCTCAGTTTGCAGTTCCATTTAAGAACAGACAGCCTGTTAGCTAATTAAACAGCCTAGAGCTGCATGACCTTCTTATAAACTCGAGACAGAAAGCCTCATTGTGTAAAATCATTTACATACCCACTCCCTAAGCAAAGAGTATAACCAGCTGATAACCAAACAAGGAATTATAACCTGAGGATTGCTGAGCCAAATCCTAATACACAATTGTCTATGTCCATGAAAATAGTACTTAACATGAATTCCTCCAGTAGAATGTCTAAGTGAATAAAGGGTAAAATTGCCAAAACAGCTAATTAACAGAAAAATTAACTTCAGAACAAATGATACTCCAACCCAAGGAAATGCACTTTGATTCAAAACCTCGTTATTGCTTATATACTCATTTAAGAAAGTAATTTCAACATTTTATCTAATTTCCACAGCTGATACTTAAATGGTGTTTTAAATGCCAATTTGCAAGACTTCAATCACAGATCAAGGTAATTATTTTTAAATGCACGTCGATATTACTGCTACTATTTCTAAGTCAATTAGTTGAGTCACATTTCTCTAGACTGCCAATATAAATATAAAAACTAAAATTTACCAGATTCATTATACGGGTCAGATATAGTATAATTATGGTATATGTATAATATAAACATAAATATACTATAAACATAAATGTATACATTAATAATATCTATGTCAGTTTTAACATCATTTAAATACTTGTATTTCTCAAAAAATCCAGGTTAACCTAAACTTTATTGCAGAACCGCAACAAACCTGAGAAGTAGCAGCTTCTGCACAAGCCTGCAATTATAGTATAAATATGAGTAATAGAAGCTTTCTTTTAAGAAAACCAAGATTTTTAATGAACCTACTTTATTAGCCTTCATTAGAAATGATTGCACTAGTATTAACAGCCTGCAAACCTTACTAAGGCAGTAGGCATCAGAGTGGAATAGGGCATAGACTTCTAGTCTGAAATAACTGGTTAAAATCTTGGGAGGTGTTCTACTGTTGAGAGATATTAATCCTAAATTAACTTAACTAAAATTCCTACTTTTTAAATGGGTCAAAACATGTACATTTCTTTGGGTAAAAGTGTCAGCTAAGTAATAGAGTAAAACACTGAACTGCTGCTACATATCAAACTTCATGTTACTAGAACAAGTCAATACATTTTCAGGCTGAAATATAGGCAGGCATATTACCAGTTAAGTCTATCTCGCTGTCAATACCAGCAAACAATAGTCTTATAGTTAATAATCCACATAATTTGTCCTCCACATGCAAATATTTCTCTCCACTCTATGCAAAGGACATAACCATTAAACTAGGAAAAATGGACTATTAATTCCCCAGAAAACCGATGGAAGTGAAACACGTGGAATTATTACCAGCACTGTATCGCTACAAACTACATAAACTGCGTTGACCAGTTTCAGTGAATTTAGTTTCCCCGCTACTGGCAGCTAAGTAACGCTCACATGGGAATGTCAGACAGAGCGCGCGAACGCGCGAGGCTGTCGTACGTCACCTTCATTTACATATTAAAAAAACTGGCAACATGAAAGTCACGAGCCACACTTTCAAAATGGTCGAGACATCCCTTCCTGTCGTAACCCCCCCCCCCAAAGGAAAAAAAAAATCTTCCTAACTGGTTAGCTGGCTAGCTATTCGCTTGCGCTAACTACACAACGACTGCCCGACCTGTTTATTGGATTGCACAACTCAGTTTCTATGACAAGTGCGTTTATGGCACGAAAATGTTTGAGAGCCACAAGCTAGCTCCGTAATATTAAAAATAAGGAAGCATGCAAAAGGGATCTAGCTACCTAGCTTGCTAAGGCCTGACTTAATCCAGGAAATCCACCGCAACAAAATAAATTTACACCGAGCTCCCCAAAAATAGAAAGAATACAAGCATTTACTCTAGCCGCACAAATGAACTTTTACAAAATCATTTTTTAGATAAGAATGTTACTCGACCTTTCGTCCCCTGCAAGTTCAGAGTCTGTCATGTTTTTGTCAAGAACGGGGTTTGGGGGATTGGAGAAAAGGCTCGCGAAAGCCATGATGATTGGAAACGAAATTGCCCTTCTCCCGAAACAAGAGTGAGTTGCATTCAGTCACTCAAAGGAGACGTTGGATTGTGAGAGATGATGAAGGATTGCATTAGTTTAAAAAACTCACGGTTACAAGTCTTTACAGTGAAACAGTAAACACAGACTTTATCCAGTCTCTTATCAATGTTTTAAACTGTAAACACAGTTTTGATACCCCCGCTTTGCTAATGTCCCGTCGGTTGACTGTTTTCTTGGTGAAATATTGGAGACGGAGGGTGAAACAAACAGAAATTGAATCATTTTCGGTGGTTTCTATTCCTTCACAAAACATGGCGCCCGCAACGCATTCTCAAAATGGCTGCGATGAACCAAAGAACGCTAGTTGTATTCTTCCACTTGCAAGATTAGACCTATGAGATCAGTCTAGCCTGCAGCCGCTGCATAGCTATGCGGCTAACCATTGGACAATAAGCTTTAATTTATGCGAATATATAATACATCTCTGATTCGATTGGAGTACATAGCGCCCAAGAAATGAAGTCGTGGTCAAACAGTAAAGGTTGGCAGACCGTAAAGAACTCTATCCAATGAAAAATCATGTAACGTCATTCCTGCGGAATGATTTGTGAAAAGAACTACGCGTTTTTCTTGAAATAATAACCTAAAATGTATTATTTTATTTAACACATGCTTGCTACACTTTTAAAGGATGTAGCATTAACCGTTTATTTGATTTTTTTGTTAAAAGATAAATTTTACCAGAGTTTTTTTAAATATATTTACCTCTTTGTTGGGTGAGATAAAATTATCCCTTGCTGCCAGCAGGTGTCACTCTAACCCCAAAAATACATTTAGCTGCTCATCTTAGATTCTGAAATAAACTTACATTAAAACTTTTCATGTGATTTTGTGTGTGTGCCTTGCTTTGTTCTGGCCTCCTGTCAAGGATACGTCCTTTGCTTTGGGTCCTGTGTCACTAGTATAAGCATGTTCCCCACTTGGTCATAAACTAAATAAGCATTTAGCACGTGAATGAATGAATGAATGAATTATTTTATTATTTTCCCCAGTATATACGGTCTGGGTAAGCTATAGTTGCTGGAACATGCATATTTCTCAGGCATACATATTCCTCAACATTTTATTTCCACCCATCAATCCACACATCCTGGTCAAAGTTGTTGGGACATTTTAACTTTAACTATACTATTGAATGGCAGAGTATCTGTGAAAACTGATGGATGGATGGATGGATGGATGGATACCAGCTGCACTGTATGAAATATAAAATATATTTTAGTTGATTTAAGAGAACTAAAATATTATGGACACGGTTTTAGACTCTGACAGTCTCAGGTGCTCAAATCAAACTTTATTTCTGTCCATAGTTTTCTTTTTATTGAATTTGTATACAATGGTTCTCATATGGTTAGAAATACCAAATCTGTAATATATTACAAATATATCCATCCATCATTTCCTCGTCCAAAGGCTGACCCTGGTCAGGGACATGAGAAGCCCGTCCTGGCATCACAGAGCAGAAGGCTGGGGTGCACACTGGACAGAATGCTAATCCAACCCAGGAAACATACAGACACACCCAACTAACAAAATGTGTTAACCTCCAATCTTGGAAGTATGGTAAAGTTGCCAGAGTCATACTTTATTATTCCAATCCTTATTACCTTTTGCTCTGTGAAAGTTGCACACTTAATTATGGCACTGTTTAGGCAAATGTTCACCTCTGTGAACTGCTGTTTACACACTGAAATGCATCTAAAAAAAAAATTTTTCGGCAGCAACCGCTAAAATGGGTCTCGGTGAATTATAAAAAAATCAATTTATTTACGAAAACCTGTCAGATTTCGTCTTGGTCATAGCAGTGCCTTGTTATTCAGAGATTTAAACAAAGCAAAAGACAGAAGGCTTACATTGAAAGTAATCATTTTATTTACATTTTTACATTTTGTTTATTTGTTTTTATCCAAAGTGACGTACATATCTGAGAAAGCAGGGTCAGACAGTCCCAGGAATAGGGTGGTTTTGGGCCCAACAGGGAAATCACTCTGCCAACCAATTCTTCAATATGTTCTTTTTTCGTCAATGTATAATATTTAAATGTCCCTGAATAAGTGGCAGACACTGGATGGATAGACATATGTGTAAAAAGAGTTCAGTAGTAGAATTTCCTAAATGCCATGTATACCTCATTCATTCACAGTTCCCCATCCTTGTAGGCTACATGCTACAAAAAAGACAGAGTGCAATTAATTAAATAATATACGAAACCCAATCAGTAATCAATTCCCCTTGCTGATTTATGATATATTCAATAGTAGCCCCAATTATATCTGAGATGCTGCAAAAAGAAAAGCATCGAAAATCAGGTAGCAGCCCAGTGCGAATATCTTCCATTCTATTCATATATACTGTCAGACGGAGTTTTCATGCAGTCTTTTTAATATAGCCCTACTTTTCCTTCTTTATGAAGCGCCGCACATCACTGTTATTTTGGGGGAAACTGCGTTGGGTTTGGGCCGAGTATGTGCGGCTTTTGATCATTTTAACAAGTAGGTTTCAATAGCAGCGATATAATCTGACTTGCTCTGACCTGCAGGACGGAGCAGCGCGCTCGCGCATATGGCGAACCTGCGCTGTTCTGCTTCATGAAGTTCCAGATGGCAGTTTGCGTTCCGACGATGGCGATTTTCCGAAGGGGGGCAAAAAACCTGGGAATTTCGCGCTGTGTTGAGGTGTTGGTGGGAGGGATTACTACATGCATCCCCAGTAAGAATCCACGCTGTGTTTGGTAGCTGCTTTGACTTTTCTTTCGGGCTCTTGAAGCGCATGGATATACGAGCATACCCAAGCTGCTGGTGTGCATACCGCAGACGAGCATCACTGCTTCAGACTTGAAACCTGTTTCCTGCTGCGCTCTACTCTAAATTGAAGTTTCAGATTTGGAATACAACAAGCTTTCTTTAACTCTTCCTGGAGTTTTTCGCTGCGCTGTTGTAATATAGGTATATTCAGTTAAACGCAAATATAGCCGGAGCTGAAGACATGATGCGCAAAGTTCAGTGCAGCTGTCTGCTGCTGCTGTATTTGACAGCGATTGATCACTGTCACGGCGTCACGCAGGTTAGTATGAACTTTATCACAAGCGCATATTGCATACATATAAAAGCGCTTCTCTGATAGTAACTCTATAATTTACTAATATCAAAAAATATAATACGTACCATACAAGAAATTATGTCAATGCATAATGGTCTCATATTTGTATTGTTGTGTTTATTGTATTTTACTTTCAAATGTCCATTAATTTGCTTATTCTACAATGAATTAAAATTAAGTTCGCTGCATGTGATTGTTAAAATAGTTTAATAGTTTTTAATTGTTTAACGATTTAGTTGTGATTTGGAATTTGGCAATTCTGATTAGAAATACACCAAATATTTTTTTTACACAATGCCATTTAGTACAATATAGTGCATTTTTTGAAAACTTCTTAAAACGCACCCAAGTGGAAATTCCAGTTAAAACTATTTGCCCTGATCAACTGGTCTCAGCTGGTATGAACTGGCCAGAATTATTAGCCAGGACATCACCAGTAAATCTGTGAAACAGCTACTGATACAGTACAGCTATTAATCCAAAACATTATCCCAATAATCTGTTTAAAATCACACTCTAGCAGAATGCTACTTGAACAGAGAGTACCTAAATCTCTAATTACATACTGTGAATTTCAATGTAATATCTCTTTGCAGCATGACCGTGTGCTGTGCAGTCCTCTGTGGTCCAGATGGGTCTCAAATGATAGAATACCGCTAAATGCAGACATCCAGGCCAGTGGGTGGTGCTGTTGTGCACTGATCAAAGCATGTCCTACAGAAGAGGGTTAGGGTTAGGGTTAGGGTTAGGGTTAGACTGTGTTCAGTCTTTGCCTGGATGGTTGCTGGATAATTGTCCTTTCTCCATTTAGATGGATTACATGGCTGGGTCATTGTTCCTCTCTTCACTGTACAAGTAGTCAGGCAAGCAGAGCTCTCCTCCAAGCTTGTTGCATCCCTCCTGCAGCACATTGAGCAAGGAGTGAGTGGCTTTCAGCACAGGCATTGGAAGAGGTGTGTGCTAATGGAGCCATGTGCTGGCAGATACTTAAAGTGGAATTATTTGGCTGTTCCAGGTTAGGAGTGAAACAGTGAAAGACAACAGGCCTGTATACCTAAGAGTGTCACACTATATAGAGTCTACTCTCTTCATAGCAGTCTACTGTCATCATCTAACATTACGGCTTTGCAGTCTTTGTATATGACTGATAAACTGTATTGTCACTTTCTGACAATGTCAGGGTTTTTGTCTAACTTTATTTTACAGTTTTCTGTAATTGTCGCCAATGAAGGTTTA